ATTAAACTAATTTGATTTAATTTTTGAAACTAGAATGACTGTCCTTTTGCACAGCATGACTTAAGACTGAGTAGCAAGAGATGTTACTTGCAGCTAGGGGCAGAGTAGATAAAGGCAGGCCTTGCTGGAGGGCTTACACCTGCTCACTGTCTCTAGTATAACTCCTGTAGACAAAGAACAATAACTTGAGATTATTGGTGCAGGCAGAGGTTGCTTTTTCAGCATGAGACATGGTTTTTCCTTGCCTCTTGGATAATGTCTAGTGCTATGCAAATTCCCCAGCTGGGACTTTGTAGTTTGGATTATATCCTTAAATGCTTACTTTCATCCTTAAAAATAATGGTTAAATTGTAATTGCTAAAGAACTTAGGCTCATTGCTCAATCACTATAAGTAACATGTATCTGTTTGATCATTTGACCAAAAAAAAAAAATTTGCTCAATTTATGCTTTAATTGCTTTTCCAGATCTCATACTCCTCACTCACTCTGTATAAATATAGCTGTATCACCATCCATTCTAAGGGATCTTTCTCTCCAAACACATGACATCTAGAGCCTGGGAACCTGATGACAGTGCTCTCAGATGTCTATGAAGCAACATCAGAGCACTGGTGCAGCACTGTGACTCTATTTCAGTAAGTCCAACTTTGGTGGCAGCCAGCTGAGACTAAAAGAACAAGCTGTTGCAACACTGGGCAGCAGATTTCTCTGCAAACCTATCAGGCTGCCATCAGGCTTCCCAGGGGAACAGAGATGTTTCCTCTCTTAAGAGCAAATGTTGTAACTGGTTGCACACACAACATAACCTCTGCTAATGGAAAACTGAGGAGACAGAAACATGCAGAGGAACATTCCTTTCTCCATCAGTGGGTATGAACTGCTTCCTATCTAACTGTCAAGCTTCTAGTAGCTTGTGACTGAGTTTGGGAACTCTGTGTGAAAGTCAAGTTTAGCATCACAGAGAAGATGCTTCTAGTCGTTGTAAAGCAGGACTCTGACAAACATTTTTTAAAATTTATTTTGGCAGATGCAGAGAGTTCTGGTTGTACAAGTCATGTTCTTCCCAATTTTCTTCCTAAGGAAAAAAAATAAATGCTGGCTGTCCTTTGCACTCAAAGGGAACAGATTAAAAGAGAATGGAGGAAATGGCATTTCCTGTTTCGGTCACACTTTCTCTCCATCTAGGACCAGGAGAGCAGGGTTTGTAGTAAAGTACTTCTGAACACAAATCCCCCTACTGAAAGAGCCTGAAGAGGGCCCTACTAAGTTGTGACTACCAAAGGGCAGCAGAAGAGACAAATCACTGACTATCACAATTTGGTAAGCATGGGACATAGACACAAGACTTCTCTTGCAGCCTTAAAAGCAGTCATGCCAAGACCAAAGCTCTCAAAAGTATTTGTCTATAGCTAAAGAGTAAGAGCATTTCCCTGTTTACTAACTCTGGGGATAGACAAAAGCCAAAGGCAAGAGCCTGGTGGAGTTAGGATCTAGAGGAAGAACAACTGAGCAGAAGCATTAGGAACAGAAGAAAGTGACAGGAGTACAAAAGACAAAGCCTGTTCTACAAAGATGACTGACCAGCTGGGATACAGGGTTTCTGCATGCACTGCAGGATGGCATGAAAGAGATCTGGTTAAATACCTGTCAATCAACCCTGTGTGACTGTCTGGGAGGGGAGAGAAGGAACAAAGTCAACTCAATTCCAGAAAAGTCTGAACTTCCTGCATGCTGTACCAGAAATTCAGTGGCTCAGGATTTGAGTGCCACATCCAAGAGAAGTACTGGGCTCCTGTAAGCAATTACCCTGAGCTTTTCCTTTCTCCTACAGGCCTGACCTGCACCACCATTAAGACATCTGTGCTGCCAGGTGCTCCTACTAAGATGCCTGTCTCAGAGAAAAGAAAGGCTCTGCCCCATTTTTTCACTCCCTATGCCTACAGTGCCAAAAATGTCACTGTAAGTGTCTGCCCACTGTTAGAGAAAGGAGGAGTTGGAAGTTTTAACTAGCATGGAACAGTAGGGAGT